CCAGTCATAACAACAACCAGGTTAGACAATACCTGTCTAACAACCAGGTTAGACAATACCAGTCATAACAACCAGGTTAGACAATACCAGTCATAACAACCAGGTTAGACAATACCTGTCATAACAACCAGGTTAGACAATACCAGTCATAACAACAACCAGGTTAGACAATACCTGTCATAACAACCAGGTTAGACAATACCAGTCATAACAACCAGGTTAGACAATACCAGTCATAACAACCAGGTTAGACAATACCTGTCATAACCAGGTTAGACAATACCAGTCATAACAACCACCAGGTTAGACAATACCAGTCATAACAACAACCAGGTTAGACAATACCTGTCATAACAACCAGGTTAGACAATACCAGTCATAACAACAACCAGGTTAGACAATACCAGTCATAACAACCAGGTTAGACAATACCTGTCATAACAACCAGGTTAGACAATACCAGTCATAACAACCAGGTTAGACAATACCTGTCATAACCAGGTTAGATAATACCAGTCATAACAACAACCAGGTTAGACAATACCAGTCATAACAACAACCAGGTTAGACAATACCTGTCATAACATCCAGGTTAGACAATACCAGTCATAACAACAACAAGGTTAGACAATACCAGTCATAACAACAACCAGGTTAGACAATACCAGACATAACAACAACCAGGTTAGACAATACCAGTCATAACAACAACCAGGTTAGACAATACCAGACATAACAACAACCAGGTTAGACAATACCAGTCATAACAACAACCAGGTTAGACAATACCAGTCATAACAATCAGGTTAGACAATACCAGTCATAACAACCAGGTTAGACAATACCAGTCATAACAACCAGGTTAGACAATACCAGTCATAACAACCAGGTTAGACAATACCTGTCATAACAACCAGGTTAGACAATACCAGTCATAACAACCAGGTTAGACAATACCTGTCATAACAACAACCAGGTTAGACAAAACAATTATGTGAGACTACCTACCTGGAGTCTACCTGGAGGGTGCTTCTGGGGTCAACGCCCCCTCGTCCCGGTCCATGACCAGGCCTCGTGGTGGATCAGGGCCTGATCAACCAGATTGATACTGCTGGCCGCACGTAAACCGACGTAGGAACCACAGTCCGGCTGATCAAGTACTGAAGACAGCCAGGGGTGTACTGGTAATCCCCTTTATGTATGCTGGTAGGCTGCTGAACAGTCTTGGGCCCCTAACACTTACTGTGTTACCTTTTAGTGTAGTCCTGGTACCCCTGTTTTTCATGGGGAGAATGTTGCACCACCTGTCGTGTCTTTTTCTTTGGGACTAGTGCCTTTAGGATTTTCCAGATGTTAATTACGATTTATGTTTCTTGCCTGCGAGACTTCAACCGTTCACGGTAATCGAAGTGTTTTATCGTACTTATATGTGTAGTAAGATAAGATAAGATAAGATTTCGTTTGGATTTTTAACCCCGGAGGGTTAGCCACCCAGGATAACCCAAGAAAGTCAGTGCGTCATCGAGGACTGTCTAACTTATTTCCATTGGGGTCCTTAATCTTGTCCCCCAGGATGCGACCCACACCAGTCGACTAACACCCAGGTACCTATTTGCTGCTAGGTGAACAGGACAACAGGTGTAAGGAAACGTGTCGAAATGTTTCCACCCGCCGGGAATCGAACCCGGGCCCTCCGTGTGTGAAGCGGGAGCTTTAGCCACCAGGCCACCGGGCCACATTGTCCAGGTCTGCAATTTCACCTGCCTTGAAAGAGGCCGCTAGTGTACAGCAATATTCCAGCCTAGAGAGAACAAGTGATTTAAAAAGAATCATCATGGGCTTGGCATCCCTAGTTTTAAAGGTTCTCATTATTCATCCTGTCATTTTTCTAGCAGATGTGACAATGACACTGTTGTGATTCTTGAAAGTGAGATCCTCTGACATTATCACTCCCAGGTCCTTCACATTATGTTTCCCCTCAATTGTGTTATTGCAGCAGTAGAAGAACGAGAACACAGTTATTACAACAGTGAAAGAAGGATATGCCTGTTTGCATATCTGTTTGCTCACACACACACTCACACACACACACACACACACACACACACACACACACACACACACACACACACACTTTCTGCATTATTATTATTAATTAAAAATATTAATTACTGTGTTATGAAGCAAGAGTCGTTTTAAGTGAATCTTAAGAAAGATGACCAATAATAAAAACAGCGAGGGAGAAAGCAGGTTAATGGCGTCAGGGATAAGACGACTTACCTGCTGCTGGATAATTAAGATGGTAATTTACCTACATCTATATTAGGCAACGAACAATTTAAGTGCGGACACGACGTACACCGACGTACCTGTACTGATGCCATATTTATCCATGGGGAAATGGAAAAGAATTGTTCCTCCGCAAGCCATGATTGTCTAAAGAGGCGACTAAAATCCTGGAAGCAAGGGACTAGTAACGTCATCTCCTGTACACATTACTAACTTTACGAATAGAATCTCGTTTTTCTTTTTGGGTCACCCTGCCTCGGTGGGATACAGCCGGTTCGTTGAAAAAACAATGGATATACAGAGTATTAATGATCAATGATAAAGATTTAGACACTTTGTGCAACATTGCAATAACCTTTTTGCAGGGAAGTCTGCAACACCTGACTAACCTAGAGTCACCACCTGCTTGGAACCGGTGGATTTTACCACTGGTGGCGCCGCCCACCACTGCTGCATCTCACCTGACTGCAGTATACAGGACACTTTAAGCATATGCTGTACTTCTCTCCAGACTGATGGAGTCAACACATCGACCTCAGGCTGAGGGACTGACCACCTCAACACTGCGTCTTCACGGTTGATGGACTGACTACATTGTCTTGTCATCTCTGCTGCCTCCTCGTGTTGTTGACTGAAGAAACCTAGTGTCTAGGCGAAAGGTTTGAACAATATAGATACTTAACTGATGCACAAGTACCACGTACACGGACCTAACACCACGTACACTGACCTAACATCACGTACACTGACCTAACACCGTGTACACTGAACTAACACCATGTAGACTGACCTAACACCACGTACACTGACCTAACACCACGTACACTGACCTAACACCACGTACACTGACCTAACATCACGTACACTGACCTAACACCGTGTACACTGAACTAACACAATGTAGACTGACCTAACACCACGTACACTGACCTAACACCACGTACACTGACCTAACGCCACGTACACTGACCTATCACGTACACTGACCTAACACCGTGTACACTGAACTAACACCATGTAGACTGACCTAACACCACGTACACAACACCACGTACACTGACCTAACACCATGTACACTGAACTAACACCACGTACACTGAACTAACACCACGTGCACTGACCTAACACCGTGTACACTGAACTAACACCACTTACACTGACCTAACACTACGTACACTGACTTAACACTATGTACACTGAACACCACGTACACTGACCTAACACCACGTACACTGACCCAACACCACGTACACTGACCTAACACCGTGTACACTGAACTAACACTATGTAGACTGACCTAACACCACGTACACTGAACTAACACCACGTACACTGAACACCACATACACTGACCTAACACCGTGTACACTGAACTAACACTATGTAGACTGACCTAACACCACGTACACTGAACTAACACCACGTACACTGAACTAACACCACGTACACTGAACTAACACCACGTAACTCGACTCAAGAAATCGTAATGACACGATTGCAAACCAACCATACCCCCGGCCGGGATTGAACCCGCGGTCATAGAGTCTCAAAACTCCAGCCCGTCGCGTTAGCCACTAGACCAGCTAGCCACAATAAGATTCATCCAACTAGGTATATTTCTACACCATAGGAAGGCTAGCATAGACACCACTGTTTTGAGACTCTATGACTGCGGGTTCAATCCCGGCCGGGGGTATGGTTTAACACCACGTACACTGAACAAACACCACGTACACTGTCTTAACACCACGTACACTGAACTAACACCATGTACACTGACCCAACACCACGTACACTGAACTAACACCATGTACACTGACCTAACACCCCGTACACTGGCCCAACACCACGTACACTGACCTAACACCACGTACACTGACCTAACATCACGTACACTGACCTAACATCACGTACACTGACCTAACATCACGTACACTGACCTAACACCGTGTACACTGAGTTAACACCATGTAGACTGACCTAACACCATGTAGACTGACCTAACACCACGTACACTGACCTAACACCACGTACACTGACCTAACACCACGTACACTGACCTAACATCACGTACACTGACCTAACACCATGTACACTGAACTAACACCATGTAGACTGACCTTACACCATGTAGATTGACCTAACACCACGTACACTGAACACCACGTACACTGACCTAACACCATGTACACTGACCTAACACCACGTGCACTGACCTAACACCGTGTACACTGACCTAACACTACGTACACTGAACTAACACTACGTACATTGAACACCACGTACACTGACCTAACACCACGTACACTGACCCAACACCACGTACACTGACCTAACACCGTGTACACTGAATTAACACCACGTACACTGAATTAACACCACGTACACTGACCTAACACGGTGTACACTGAACACCACGTACACTGAACACCACGTACACTGAACTAACACCATGTACACTGACCCAACACCACGTACACTGAACTAACACCATGTACACTGACCTAACACCCCGTACACTGGCCCAACACCACGTACACTGACCTAACACCACGTACACTGACCTAACACCGTGTACACTGAACACCACGTACACTGACCTAACACCGTGTACACTGAACACCACGTACACTGACCTAACACCACGTACACTGAATTAATACTCATATACACCTACCTAACACACACACACACACACACACACAACTGACCTGGCTGATCATAGGATCAGTGTTGATCTGACACATGTATGGCCCCTTATCCTCTTCGGTGACCTGTTTAATGACCAGGTGCCAGGTAGAGTGGTCGTCAAAACTCACGTGGACGCGCGGGTTGTGGGTTATGACGTGCGTGTGGATGGCCTGGATCGCCTTGGTATCCGCCTTCACCCACCCGACCTGTGTGGATCACGGACATTAAATTAGACACTGTGCATGTGTGTGGATAAAGTACAGGGGCATGAAACCATATAGCCATTCATACATGTATACATATATACAAACTATACATGTGCATACAGAATTATATATATTATACAAATACACTCATACAACGAAATACTTACACACATACACACACAAACTTACATATTCTCACGCAGATATACAAACATACACCCAAAACACACATCCATCCCTATCAAATACAAGGTTATGAAAACTGTGGCAGGAGCAAGAAGACCGGAAAGTGAGTACAGACTGGAGTACAGACCTGGGGGTGGGCACAGTGCTGAGCATATCACCAGAGATTCACAAAGGTCACCGGGCAAACCTAAGAGTGACCTTCACGAACATCAACAGCCATGCTGGGTCCTTCATACAATATACTACGTAAGAACCACCCTGGAGTACGCAGCACCAGTACAGAACCCATACCAGAGGAAGCAGGTTTGTCAACAGTATTGTGCAGTATACATATACATCTCCTAGTAAGGTTATAGACAGGTTCCCTGGCCAAGCCTGATGACACAGGTACGCCACGGTTCACAACTCAACCAGCAACAGCAGTGAGCAGACGTGATAATCTGGGTTATTCCATCACCACTACCAAAAATACGCCTCCATAACAGTGTACAGTTGTGTCCTTCTGCCGCCACTTGTGTGCGACCAGCAGCAATAGCCTGGTTGATCAGGCCCTGATCCACAACGAGGATTGGTCAGAGACCGGGCCGTGGGGGGCGCTGATCCCCGAAACTCTCTATAGGTATACTCCAGGTGTCTATAACGCCTGTCAAGAGGTAAGCAATGCAGAGAGGCTGAAGGAGCCGAACCTGGTGACAGAAGAACCTGTCAAAGGGATACTCGAGAAACAGCGCTGGGAGCCCATGCTCGACCCCCAGCAACCAGACACAGGTAAGTGCAAATACGTACGCAGACATACCCATACACAGATAAACATACGTAGAGAGAAACAAGGAAGGATTGAGTGACAGGCGGTGAAAGATTAAAAGTGATTAGCCAGTTAGAGTTGAGGAAGATGCTCAGAAGGATTTACTTAAGCTGACTCAGATGAGAAAAGATTACTGAGGAGGATACTGTCAGCAGTAAGATATGGTGGTAGTGGTGGTAGTGATGGTGGTAGTGGTGGTAGTGATGATGGTAGTGGTGGTAGTGATGATGGTAGTGGTGGTAGTAGTGGTGGTAGTGATGGTAGTAGTGGGAGTGAGGTGGTAGTGGTGGTAGTAGTGGTGTAGTGATGGTGTTAGTGGGGGTAGTGGTGGTAGTGGTGGTAGTGATGGTAGTGTGGGGTAGTGGTTGGTAGTGGTGGTAAAATGGTGGTAGTAGTGGTAGTGATGGTGGTAGGGTGGTAGTAGTGGTGGTAGTAGTGGTGGTGTAGTTTGGTTTGGGAGTGGTGGGAGTGATGGTGGGAGTGATGGTGTAGTGGTGGTTTTTTAAATGGTGGTAGTGGTGGTAGTGATGGTGGTAAATGATTTGGGGGTAGTGGTGGTGGGTTTGTGATGGTAGTAGTGGTGGTAGTGATGGTGGAGTGATGGTGGTAGTGATGGTAGTTGTGGTGGTAGTATGGTAGGGAGTGGTGGTAGTGTGTGGTAGTGGTGGTAGTGGTGGTAGTGTGGTGGTAGTGATGGTAGTAGTGATGGTAGTTAGTGGTGGTAGTGATGGTGTAGTGGTGGTAGTAGTGGTGGTAGTAGTGGTGGTAGTAGTGATGGTGGTAGTGATGGTGGTTAGTGGTGGTGGGAGTGGTGGGAGTAGTGGTGGTAGTAGTGGGGTAGTAAGTTTGGGGGTGGTAGTGGTGGTAGTGATGGTGGTAGTGGTGGTGGTAGTGGTGGGGAGTATGGTGGTAGTAGTGGTGGTGGTAGTGGTGTAGTGATGGTTTGGGAGGGGGTGGTGGTAGTGGTGGGAGTAGTGGTGGTAGTAGTTTGGTGGTGGTAGTGGGGGGTAGTGATGTGGTAGTGGTGGTGGTAGTGGTGGTAGTAGGGTGGTGGTGTAGTGATGGTGGTAGTGGTGGTAGTGATGGTGGTAGTGGTGGTAGTAGTGATGGTGGTAGTGGTGGTAGTGATGGTGGTAGTGATGGTGGTTGTGGTGGTAGTAGTAGTGGTGGAGGTAGTGATAGTAGTAGTAGTGGTGGTGGTAGTGATGGTGGTAGTAGTGGTGGTAGTAGTGGTGGTAGTGATGGTGGTAGTGGTGGTGGTGGTAGTGATGGTAGTAGTGGCGTAGTAGTAGTGGTGGTGGTGGTGGTGGTTAGTGATGGTGGTAGTGATGGTGGTAATGGTGGTAGTAGTGGTGTTGGTGATGGTGGTAGTGGTGGTAGTGATGTTGGTAGTGGTGGTAGTGATGGTGGTAGTAGTGGTGGTGGTAGTGATGGTAGTAGTGGCGGTAGTAGTAGTGGTGGTGGTGGTAGTGATGGTGGTAGTGATGGTGGTAGTAGTGATGGGTGATGGTGGTAGTAGTGGTGATGGTGGTAGTGGTGGTAGTGATGGTGGTAGTAGTGGTGGTAGTGATGGTGATAGTGGTAGTAGTGATGGTAGTGGTGGCAGTGATGGTGGTACTAATGGTGGTAGTGATGGTGGTAGTAGTGATGGGGGTGGTGGTGGTAGTAGTGATGGGGGTAGTAGTGATAGTGGTAGTAGTGATGGTGGTAGTAGTGGTAGTAGTGATGGTGGTAGAAGTAGTGGTGGTAGTGATGGTGGTAGTGATGGTGATAGTGGTGGTAGCAGTGGTGGTGGTAGTGATATTGGTAGTAGTAGTGATGGTAGTAGTGGTAGTGATGGTGGTAGTAGTGATGGTAGTGGTGGTAGTAGTGATTGTGGTAGAGGTAGTAGTGGTGGTAGTGATGGTGGCAGTAGAGGTGGTAATGATGGTGGTAGTGATAGTAGTGATATTGGCAGTGGTGGTAGTGATGGTGGTAGTAGTGATGGTAGTAGTGTAGAAGTGATTGTGGTAGAGGTAGCAGTGGTGGTAGTGATGGTGTTAGAAGTAGTAGTGGTGGTAGTGATGGTGGTAGTGGTGGTGGTAGAGGTGGTAGTGATGGTGTTAGTAATAGTGATATTGGCAATGGTGGTAGTGATGGTAGTAGCAGTGGTAGTGATGGTAGTAGCAGTGGTAGTGATGGTGGCAGTGGTGGTAGTTGTGATGGTGGTAGTGGTGGTATTTGTGATGATAGTGATGGTAGTAGTGATGGTAGTGGTGGTAGTCATGGTAGTGGTGGTAGACAATACAATGTGGCCACAAAAACACTCGCTAATTTCAGACAGTTATAACATGTAACTTTAATAATGTTTCAGAGTTAGTAGCTTCAGATGCAGGATATCATTCAGTGTCATGTGGTATTTGGTAGCATTAAAAGGTACTCAATATGAGCCCCTCTGGTTGCTGGGTGAACATCCTTGTGACAGTCTAGTTCAGTCCAGACGCTCTGCAACAAATGAAATCAAAATTACAATGTGGGATTAACATATAGGATACTGTGTGGTTTACGTATTATATAAAACTAATTATAGAGAGGGGCCACTATCACACTTACCATGACTAGGGCATTTCTGGCAGGGCTAAGATTAATTAAAAACTCTATATTGGCACAGATTATGGAACATATTGGTATTAAGGCTATATAAGTACATTACAGTTCGTAAATTTTGCAATGTGGATGGCTGTTATCATGGTGTTATCATGTGAACTGCCTCAGTTATCGAACTTTTCAGGTAGTGGTGGTACGTAAACTGTGCTCTTCACGTACCCCCTATAGAAAGAAGTCCGTTGACCTCTGTATAGTGATCTGCTAGGTTCACCGGACCTGTTTGTTTGTTTCTTCTCTTTGTGGTTACGTGGATGAGGCACAGTTTTCGTAACCACATCACCACACTACCATGGAGGGAGCTGAAATGTTCGATCACGTAGGGAAGTTGGCTGATAACACCAGACATGTTGCAGAGCTTCTGGACTGAACTAGACTGTACACAGGATGTTCACCCAGCAACCAGAGGGGTAACATTGAGTTACTTTTAATGCTACAAAGTCCACATGACACTGAAATGATATCCTGCATTCTGAAGCGATACTAACTCTGAACATTATTAAAGTTACATGTTATAACCTGTCTGAAGTTAGGGGGGTGTGTTTTTGTGGCCACTTTGTATTTTTGAGGGAAATATTGGAGGAGAATTTTAACAGGATTATTATTTTTACTTGCTGTTAGGTGTGTATAAAATTCTATATTATAAGTCTCAACAGCCATTACTCTCTCACACACACTCACACACCACTCACACCACAAGAAGTAAGACAGAGGAGGAAGGGGTGGGTTTGATTGCAATCTTCTTGGACTGCAAGAAGGCTTTGGACACAGTTCCTCACAATGAGATTAGTGCAGAAGACTAGAGCATCAGGCGCAATATAACAGGAAGGGCACGGCAATGTATCAGTGAATACCTGACCAGGGTGGCAACAAAACGAGTCATGGGTTACGTAATGTTGTATCCACTGTGGGCACCTGTGGACGAGCGGGCGGGGTCCCACTGGGGTTCGGTCCTAGGACCGGTTTATGTGAACGGACTGGACGGAAGGGTTAGACTCCAGAAGTGTCCATCGTTTGCAGCATGATGTGAAGTTAATGAGGAGAATTTAATCTGGATGTGGACCAGGCAGGAACTTCAAAGAGACCTGACCAGACTGCGACACCTGGTCCTGCAAATGGCTTCTCGAATTTAACTGGCCAAATGCATAGTCTATGAGATAGGGGAAGGGCAAAGAAGGGACCACTGACAGGAGTATAGGCATAGGGTGGCCAAAGACTGCAAACATCACTCAAGGTGGAAAGATCTTTGGCGGTGAGTATAACACAGCATGCCCTCGGAAGCACACACCAATCAAGATAACTGCTGCAGATATGGGCGCCTGGCAAAACCTGGATCATTCAAGGCACTTGTACACCGTGTATGTCTGGCCCATTCTG